TCTCACGTTTATTAGTTGCCTTATACATTACCAAACCCCTCTTTATATTGCAGTCGTCAGTAATCCTCCAGAGTTGCTTGGCACTTTTTAATAAGGCATCATCGGTCTTCAGAACTTGAAGTTTTTGTATACCTTTCAATTTCTTAACGTGTGGTGGCCGAACATCACTCCTCTGTTTTAAATTTCAAAAAATCAATTTTTTACTTCTCACTTTCATTTCTAGTGTACTTATGCTTCATTGTATTCGTATGCAAAAACGGAGGGATGGCAGAAAACAGAAATCGAAGGTCCGATGTTGGTTTATCGTAGAGCCGATCGTCCCACACATTCGTTTATAATAGCCAATCGTCATTCTAGGCAAGACTTTATTGAGCCAATTTCTCCGACACTTCAGCTCTGCTTGAAATCGTCCTATATAATGATGAATAAACCGGAAGGTAATTAATTTTTCTTGACCACCTTCTGAGGCCCCTTGGTTTGCTTTTAATATACTCAGCGAAATTACTGCTTTCAGGTGGTAAACAGATTGCTAGGAAACTCCCTGAGGCTGAAATTGTACTGAACAGATTTGATTTGCAGATAAGGAGATATTCGGAATTTGGATTTGCGATACGACTGACTGTGAGCGAATTTATAAGTTGCTTCAAAATTTAGTGGCAGAATGCGCAAAATCGCCTCCTCAAATGAAAGCCTCGTCGGAATCCCCAAATTTACTTGATCTTTTGTCTCACTCACCGGAAGGCCAAGATAGTGCCAGAAACCACTCATCTACAAGAGTTGCTAGAAGTGCTGATGTTGTTTTATTTAGAAGTTGCTCTTTGTTTTTGTCTTGAGAACGTTTCTAGTTGTAACGTGTAAAGTTCGGCCTTTCACGCACATTTAGTTAGAAAAAGTTTTATTATTAGTGGTTTTATCTATTAAAAAAAAGCATTTATGAAACATTCTTTCCAGAAATTGGCAATGATATGCCAGCTATGTTGCACAAACTGCTATGCGATGAAAGACAGTTACCACGGGGAAACTTGCCGAAAGGGGCTGTTTGCGCCGATCAGATAGAAAAGCAGTTACTATATGATCAGGCGACGAAACAGAAATCTGTTGATTTTGTTAAGAAACTCAACGCTAATCCGTCATTGGTGTCTAACTTTTCTACCATGAGGTATACAGAGCTTATGGTTTCAACCTCATTTTCGTTTTTCAGTTACATTTATTCACTGTAGTTGCTACTATTCGTTTCCATCACAGCAACCCTAACTCCACATTTGCACTTCATACTGGTCTTTAAATAATTGGTGAACTGGTCTTGAAGTACCCTCCAGCTACGTCTTGTCCTTAGCAGTGTACACTTGTTTCAGAATTAAAAATAGTGTAATGTGTTGAAATTGTAACCAGTTCAATTTTTGGTTTTCTTCTTTGTTGTTTGTAAAGCGTTTCTTTTTTTAAAGCTTGGGAGCACTTTCAACAACTGCGACAAGAGGCAGCGAAGGACCTTTCACTGGTGCCCCAGAAGAGGAGTTTAGTTCCGCTGCAGCAGGCTGTTCGTCCAACAGTGAATGTTTAAAGGGTATTGATCCGCCTGGGGTAAAGCCGTTTCGAATCTCAAATTTCTTTGGCTTTTTTAAGTTATAATTTCATCGTCTTTATTTAGCATGATTGTCTTAAGATATAAAGAAGGGACAGTGACATTTTAATGATTGGCGTGCCTTTTCAGAAAGATGATGGTGAGGCAGAAAAAGGTTCTGTTTCACAAGCGAAAGTGAATTCCACGATAGGCCTTAACAAGGCACAGCTAATGCAGGCACTAGAACATCTACTACGAGTAACTTGTTCTTTTTTTTTCTTTAGGCACTATTTGTCAGTCGCTCCCCACTTCCATTAAAACTCTGTTACTGAATGCCCTCTTTACAGACAGATGACGAATTCGTTGCTCGGCTTCATTTGGCATACATTGACAGTTTAAATTTAAGACTTGGTATCTGAACGTGGAAGCGAGTGTATAACAGTATGCGAGTTTACGTGCAAAGTCCAGGCATCTAAAAATCAAGTGGTTTTCAATGGTACTTCACCAAAAATCTTCTCGTACTGCTGCATATTAATTGTTACTCCATGGTGTAGCTTTATATTTTAGCAATCCTTACCACTTCAGAATGGTTATTTTTTCTGGAAAATAAATTATAAGAACCAGAACTAGACACTTCATGATGGTGATGGTTTAGTAGGACTGAGAATCTTACTAAGTACTTTCTAGTGCAGTAAGACTTTAAGACCGAGAAGTGAGGTTGAAGCATTACACTCTTCTTTTTTTTCTTTCTACTCCGCACTTTGTTCTGGGTTTTGATATCACATGAAGCAGATTCCCGCATAGGTCTTTTGTGTACCGATCAAAGGCAAAGCAGCTGCACCAAACTTTGAAACTTTTGGTATGGGTGTAAAAATTATATAAGGCAGG